AGGGTCGTGTTTGTGGTGGGTGGTGGCTTGCAGATGTTGTCGTGTGCCGCAAGCCAAGCTAGGCTTAGCTGACTTCGGGCAGTGCGAAGTGACTGGACAGTGCGACATGTTCATACTTGAAGCTGTGTGGCTGAAGCACAGTGATCGTTGTTTTGCCGGTGTGTAGACCGGGAGCTGAGTGCGGGAGCCGCCCTGATTTTCGATCTCCCGCCCGCCCGGTAGGATCCCGCGAACACTCACATTGCAACCGCGTCATGGGTGTTATGCGTTAGTCCACAGCTTGCCCGCAGCAAGTGTTGAGTGTGGAGTGCCGAACCGACCTCGGTTCACAAGAAAAACCCACCCGCCCGCCCCGATAGGGCCGTTCTGGGCTCCAGGTCGCCGTCTAGGGACGGAGGTGTGTGGGCAGTGTCGTGTGTGATGGGACCCTGCCTGGGTCCTTCTCACACCATTGTGCGTCCGGTCCAAAAAGGGTGTGCCCTGAGTGTACTGTGAAGCGTGTGCTAGTGTGTGTTTGCTGCCGGCTGTGGCCACTGCAGTGTCTTCTTTTAACGTGCCCCACCCGCTGCCACCCTACGGCACAATAGGTAGGGGTATATAAGTCTTGTGTGCCCATGCTGGGTTGTGGCACATGCTATGCCAAAACTCCTCGATCACTGGCATGTCTGCCATGCTGTGCTGCGGAGTGTTGTGCTACCCACTCGCGAGAAAATATGCGACCATGTTTGAGGGTTTCCCGTTGTCAGTGTTCTTCCATTTCTCGCGGATCGCGCGGAGCGAAGCGATTGCACTTTAAGCGTCTCGGTGTTATGTAGGAACTCGTTGTAGCTTGCGGAGCGAAGCGACGCATGAACGGTTTGTATTGTTACTCTTGCCCATTGGAAAGTTTGCTGCTCGAGGCAGGGATTTTCAGCTGAGCAGCAAACAGCTTTCTGTAGGCTAGCTTGCATTTGAGCCCAACGCCGCCCCATTCGCCTCCTGGAAGTTGATTTCTCTCAGGCTTGGGTAGGCTGGACGGACTTGGCTCCGCAACCCACAGCAAAAGTGCGTGCTTGCCAGCTGCAAGGGGTAGGGTTTCACGGCGTTTGAAAGGGTAGGTGGGTGGGCCTTCTGTGACAGTGTAACTTGAGAGACAGTCTTGTGCCCGTTGCAGTAGTCAGAACACAGGTTGGGGTTTTTGTGCATGCGCAGAGAAAGTGTCCAAGGGGTGGGCGGGTGCAGTTCCTAGAGTCCGAGCGCGCGGTCACGGATTTAACAGGCTACGCAGGCCATTTCTAGTTTTGCCGGGTCACTCAGTCTGCTTAATCGCAGGCCGCACTTCGTTTTTCGGCTCTGCGGCCGACAAGAGAGAAGCTGAAGTTGTTTGCAAGGCGCAAACTTTTGCCGTAGTATGTAGCAGAGTCCTCCCTCCAGATTTGCAGTCCTTCTTCTGTCCTGGCCAGGTGTGCTTTCCATGTTTAGATGATGGCAGTGTCGACGCCTGCTTGCCGGATTATCGCTGGTGCTTCGCGTGGAGAACGATGACGTAATGTTGAGCAGGTGTCAGATTCATGCTCAGGCCGTGCCCTCATGGCTATTCGCCCGTGGACCTTCCTCTTCTGGAGGCTTACCAGCAAGCCATCCTGGATTCGCCGTCCTGTAAGATCAATCTAGTTTTCGTATTCTTAGCTTGGTTTGGTTTTGTTCTTTCTGTGCACGCTCAGGTGTTGCCAATCTGGAGAGCGACTGTGAACAGACAGTATCGTTCGCAGGTGTCCGGGTTACGGAAGGTACAGGCGGTAGAAACACATGCAAGTTGACTCATCGATGCTCAGGAGTTGCAGAGAAGAAGGAGTTTTCAGAGTGCGTCGGCGTTTATTCAGTGTAGTAGCATGATTACGAGAGAATCCTGGCTCTTCTCAGAAGATGTGCTTCTTGGCCGTGCGTGGAACCACTTGCCGAATGCGTTGAGCTGGCTGCGTGCCCCGAGGACAGCAGAGAGAAACGTCGTGGCTGCTTTGTTTAAAATTCAACTTTTTATGTAGTTAGTTTCGTATATTTGTGGCACGGGTTCAAGCCTGGTGTAAACACGCTGAGCAGGATTGGGCGGCCATTGGTGATGATCTTTGCGCGGTGTCTTCGCGATGTTTTCTTCTGAGTAGTATTGTGAGTTTGACGGCAATGATACATTGATTGCAGTCAGTCAGGCACCTTTGTATTTCCGCCCCACTGCAGCCTGGTCCAGAAACCTGCAACAACCGACGTGTCTAGCCCTGAGTGCTGAGTGGATTCCAGTCCCTTGCTGCAATCTTTCCGAGACTGGTGAGATTGCAGGCAGCCGCCAGTGCGTGTCCCTGAGATGCTCAGTGTATCTATTATTGCAGGACGCAGGATATGAAAGCAGAATATGTGCCGCCATGCCGCTGCGCCTCCCTGTGTCTTGTTGTTGTGCTTGCAAGCGCTGTTGGGCAGGCTGTGGACTGTGGGGTGGTCTTTGCTTGCGGCGTGAATCATGCCACGAACGGCGCTGTAAATGCTTCGCAGCGGCCACGCCTAGATGCTGCGGCGACCTGTCCCCGCCTGCGACCCAGATCTTGCGCTGCCAACAGAGCGGAGGGGATACAACTCTCTGTCGTGCTCCGCTCAGAACTCGTTGTTGCCAGGTCACTGGCAGCAGGACAAGGTCAGTCGGGCGCAGGGCAGGGGCGTGGAATAATATAGGCTGGTGTGTGCAGTGTCTGGAACTGAGAACCTTGAGCAGTACAGTCCCAGCGAAAAAGATTTAGTGCGCAGGGCTTGAGTAGGTTGTGTTTGCGCTAGATTGACAGGCGTAAGGCGCAAGGCGGAAGTCTTGAACAACCCATGCTAGGTTTTACGTGTTGGTTGTGCCATGCCCGAAGACCTTCTTTTTGTGATGATGCGTGTGCAGGGAACACTGTGCACGTCACAGTACCGTGCAGGGCCTTGTGCTGGTCCCAAAGATTTTGCGGGAATGAGCATGAAACAGAAACTGCGCTGGTCTGGAGCTTGCTTGGCTTCCTGGCCGTATGAAGGTGCGTCACGAGGGCACGTGGAAGTCACGGGTGTTCTTTGCTGCAACGGCTTGCCAGGTGAAGAGCCTGCGAGGATGGACGTCGCCTGGAGTACGCGTGCTCTGCGGGACGGACCGTTGTCCTGAATATCGCAGAAGGAACCGTTGTCGGGTCAAGGCCCCACGAGGCTGTGTCTGGCTGTGGCATCTATCGAAATGTCCGCTGGAGGTCCAACGCATGTTCATCTGTAGTGGAGCGAACCGACGTCGTTCACAGCAAGTCTTTACTTGGCGATGCGTCCTCGCGTTCAGGCTTGATAAGTAAACGCATCTTCAACTTGATGAGGCGGCTATATTGCCCGCTGTCTAGAGCGAGGCGAAAGCAAAGCTTGCGGGCATATAGGCCTTCTGAGAACGAATCTTAAGGTCCTTGTTTTCGGATGTATATGTTATTTGATCTAAAGGTCGTTGAGCCTTAATTTCTATGAACGGCCAACTGCGTAGCTAAGTATCTCTTCGCGAAAGTTCCGCGATGGTGCCGCTAAAGTTAGTTTTCTTTCCGCGAAGTTTGTTGTTTTGCCAAGTAACCGAATGGCTCCCCGTTGCATTTTACAGGGTAGCGGCCCAAGCTGTCGTGGCATCTATGGGCTGGATCGTGGATAGCTTGGCCCGAAGAGCTTGCAGGTGCTTGTAGGTGTAGTGCTGGTCATTTCGCAGCAGTGTCCACGTGTCCGGATCTTGCGCCAGCTGAGCAATAGCGATACAAGTGATGGCGAGCCTTTAGTCATTAGTTTCATGATCCACGCGCCGTTTGCCTTGTTCTCGCCGCTTCCTTGGCGCCGTAGTGGCAACAGTGTGAGTGCATGCATGTTAGCATGTTGTGCACGTGCTCTAGCTGCCGCTATACAGTAGCTGACAGAACGACCTGCGCCAAGTGGGCTTGTTGCCTAGCTGAGCACTATGGTGAGGCCTTG